ACGCGGTCGTGACCCTTTTGCACGAATCCCTACGGTGGAGGGGCGGCAGGATAGTGCAGCCCCTAACCAGTGCTTCAGCATGCGTATGCAGAGCCGCCTTTGGGCTTAGGATACATAGCATTGGGGGGTGGGGTGGGGAGGAAAGTCTTCTTTATGGACCAAAAGGGACTTCTGACCTGACAAGGGCACCCGCAGGAGCGGTGCTCCGGCGCGAGCCAGCAGCTTCCACATAGTCGCGCGCGTCTGGCAGCACCTCGCTCGCTACAACGCCGACATTGGTTGCTTTCCGCCGGATAGAGAGCGACGCTCTAAAGTCTCGCGAGAATTGGGTAGAAACACAGCTCACTCGGGCCGGAAGTAGTGCTCTCGTTGGTCCACTTCACAGAGTGGCTCGACGGAAGCGGAAGAAACTGGCGCCTCAGAGCTTGGGTTCCGGAGCTGGTTGGTGTCGGAGGGTCAAGTACTCGATGCGTCCATCAATGCCCAGGCGCTCTGTTGGCCTTACAGAGTTCTCTTCCCAATCCCCGGATTTCCCCTAACTAAGGCGGCAAGGCCTGAATTTTCTCTGCGGAATACAATTGTTAAAGCTTGCAGTTCGCTTAGCAAGTTTGTCCCTTCCTATTCACTGCATTAAGCCTTTTTTTTTCTAGGAGGCCCCTCAGAGGCATTAGGAAAATACCACTGATTTGTCACTGGTTTAACATTTACTGAGCGCCTGCAGTGAGCCAGATACTGAGTGCTTCATTGTACTTAACTCCTTCCAACAAATCCATTAGATAAGTTATATTATACGTACTTTGCAGATTCCATACTAAGGGTGAAATGATTTAACTTTCTGTCACACAACAGGGAAACGGGTATAGTCAGGATTTAAGCACAGTCTGATTCCTGAGAACCCATTGAATGGACGGACAGTCATAAGTTGATAAGTTAAAATGAAATATTATATAATTATTCTGGGAGAATGTTGAGTAAATCATTTTTATCGGCCTGAAGCTTTCTTTTTTTTTTTTTCTTTTATTTTTGACTCAGGCCTGGAAAATAGATGAAGCTTTCTAATAATTAGAATGAGAGAATATTTTTCCAAGCTTCTAAGACACAAAGGTGATTAGCAAATTGAGACTCATGTCTGATGTACTTAAATCATAGTAAATCCATGTGGCCTTTTGCCATGGATTAATTTCACAAATAGCAACAAATAAAACCTGGAAAGCTTACAAAGCTACTGGGAGAAATCTGTTTACAATTTCATGCACTTGATTATCTGCATACTGAATCTGCATCAAAAGAGTTAATGGATTTTATTACAGCTAATCATTTCTATCCCAAGATTGTTTTTGCTATTTGGGGTCTTTTGTGGTTGCATACGAACTTAAGGTTTTTTCCCCCTATTTCTGTGAAATATGCAATCTCTATCCAAAGAATCTCTATCTCTCTCTCTCTTTTGATAGACATTGCATTGATTCTTCAGATTACGTTTTTTAGGTCTTTTGAAATAAATAAGGATGCAGAAGTTTTAGGGTACAGAAAGACTTAGAGACCAACCAAAGAGTGATTTGACTGCCACTTTATTTTTTCACCCAAATGACAGTACATAATATTCAATCTGAGATTTTTTAAATGTCTAAGCACATTTGGATACCCACTTTGGGTGGAGGAGACAGGAAGCACAAAAGAGTAATCCAGAATCTGACACTTGGGAAAGGGGGTTGACTCCCTGACTGTTAGAAAGTAGAAATTAAAAAATAGGCAAAGAACCTAAACAGACATTTCTCAAAAGACATACAAGACATACAAAGGGCTAACAGGTACATTAAAAAATGCTCAGCATACTAATCATTAGGGAAATGCAAGTGTATGGTTCCAGGACCCCTGTGGACACCAACAACTGTGGATGCTCTAGTCTCTTTTATAAAATGGTGTATTATTTGCATACAACCTATGCATGTCTTCCCACATACTTTAAACCATCTCTAGATTACTTATAATACCTAATGCAATGTAAATGCTGTGTAAATAGTTGTTATACTGTATGTTTTTGAAATTTGTATGGTTTTTTATTGTTTGTTTGTTTTTTCCTGAATATTATTGATCCACACTTGGTTGAATTGGTGGATGCAGGACTGTTGGCTATAGAGGGCCCACTGTATGATACAAAGTATGGATAAGAACCTAGTATTCTTATATTTTCTCAGTGGGTTTCTAAAATCTCCCGAAAGTTGGTCTTCAGACCACCTGCCTCAGACTCTCCTAAAACCCTCATTAAAAAAATGTAAAAATCTGACCTCTTAAGTCAGAAGGTCTGAAGGTGGGGTTCTGGAATTTTTATTGTAAACTAGCTCCATGGGTGATTGGAATGCCTAAAGAAGTATGAGATTCAGTGTTTTCTAAGTATGAAGCATCATTTCTGTACTGTCCAGGCCTACATCCACTGGGATTTACAATTTTTGCATTTGTATAAAAATTATTACCACCTCAATTTTTAATATTTCTTGTTTTAAAATCAAAAGATAAAAACCTGTAGCATAGTCCCAGGTCTGGTTGTTGATGTAAATGGCACAAACACCCACACATATACATATATACACACACGGGTGCATATATATGTGTGTATGTATATGTGCATGCATGTGTGAGCATGCATGCTGTCTCATTTGAATAAACAGATTAGGTTTTTGCTTATCAGTTTCTAATAATGATGTCATAATGTAGTAAATCACTGTGGAACTTCCTCATTCTGGGAAGCTCATAGAACTAACAGACTTGTTAATATTAACTTACTCATCAATTTAACTTCTATATGATTTAGAGCATTTCTAAGAGGACAATACTATAGGTTTGCCAGAACACAAAACAATTGCTCTTTAATACAATATTAATAATTAACATATCAGAGTGATTTACTGTTTACAAAGGACTTTGATATGCACATCGATTTTTTAATGAGAATCCTATTTTGTAGATAATAATGGTGGATATGGGTCACAGAAATGTTAAAATCTTTGCATGGAGCTGGATTTTCACACAAGTATTCATCCATTTAATAAGCATCTCTGGAGCATCTACCTTCCTGCCACGAGCAAAATTAATGTCTGCACGTATTTCAGAGCTTAAAAGGTAAATTAAATTCGATCTCAACTTTAGGAGTTCCTAAAATTTAATAAGCGAGCAATTTCTAGCTGTTCTCATCTATCAACTCAACAGGCACAAAGAATGGATCAATTCCTTAATTGTTTGACCAAAAAGAGAGAACAATGCCAACTAGTGCTTTTGGTTTTTGTCTTGGCGTTCACAGATTATATCTATGGTATTTCTATGAATGGGTTCACCATAATGAATGGTTTTCTTTTTTTTTTTTTTGAATTCTCTGACAAGGAGTTTATTTTATTTATTTTTTATTCAGGATATTATGGGGATACAAACAATTTGGTTACATGTAATACTGTTTGTCCCTCCCAAGCCATGTCTACAAACATGTCCCTCCCCCATACAGTGCATTCCACTTCCACTAGTTGTGAATTTACTCCCCCCAGCCCCCCAACTGGCACCCAGTGGGTATTACTACCATGTGAACACCTTAGTGTTGGTCAGTTAGTACCAATTTGATAGCGAGTACATGTCATGCATGTTTTCCCATGAAGGATGGGCTCAATCTCTATCCAGGATGATATAAGAGGTGCTAGATCACCATTGTTTTTTGTAGTTGAGTAGTATTCCATGTTATACATATACCACATTTTATTAATCCACTCATGTATTGATGGGCACTTGGTTGTTTCCACATCTTTGTAATTGTGAATTATGCTGCTATAAACATTCTAGTGCAGATGACTTTATGATAGAATGTTTTTTTTTTCCCCCCTTTGGGTAGATGCCTAGTAGTGGGATTGCTGGATTAAATGGTATTTCTATTTTTAGCTTTTTGAGGTATCTCCAAATTACTTTCCATAGGGGTTGTACTAATTTTCATATCCTTCTGTAGAAGGTTTGTCAACTGGTGTTGACTCTTACCAGCCAAAATTAGAGTTATGATTGTCTTTGAAAGCTTAAATTTTTTCCAAAGTTCTATATCTATCAAATAAAATATATATTGAATATAGATTATATTTACATATTTCATATATAAATTATATAAAATATATTTTACTTTGATTTTACCCAGAACAAACATCAGAAATGAAAGGGAAGAGTTATGATATAATATTTAGCTAGTTCTGAACTCTCTGAAAGTTTCGTATGAAATGCATTTGGTCATTTCATGTGTCTGTGTGTGTGTATAGTACTCGATGCGTCCATCAATGCCCAGGCGCGTCTGTGGCTTCAGAGTTCTCTTCCGAATCCCCGGGATTTTCCCCTATACTAAGGCGGGCAAGGCTCTGAATTTCTCTGCGGAATACAATGTTAAACTTGCAGTTCGACTGTAGCAAGTTTGGTCCATTCCTATTCACTGCATTAAGCCTTTTTTTTCTAGGAGGGCCCGCAGATGATAGGAAAATACCACTGATTTGCTCATGGTTTAACATTTACTGGAGGCTTGCAGTGAGCCAGATACTGATGCTTCATTGTACTTAACTCCTTCCAATAAATCCATTAGATAAGTTATTATAGTTACTTTGCAGATTCCAACTTAGGGTGAAATGATTTAACTTTCTGTCACCAACGAGGAAACGGGTATAGTCAGGATTTAAGCACAGTCTGTGTGATTCCTGAGAACCCATTGAATGGACGGACAGTCATAAGGTGATAAGTTAAAATGGAATATATATAATTATTCTGGGAGAATGTTGAGTAAATCATTTTTATCGGCCTGAAGCTTTCTAATAATTAGAATGAGAGAATATTTTTCAAGCTCTAAGATACAAAGGTGATTAGCAAATTGAGACTCATGTCTGATGTACTTAAATCATAGTAAATCCATGTGGCCTTTTGCCATGGATTAATTTCACAAATAGCAACAAATAAAACCTGGAAAGCTTACAAAGCTACTGGGAGAAATCTGTTTACAATTTCATGCACTTGATTATCTGATACTGAATCTGCATCAAAGAGTTAATGGATTTTATTACAGCTAATCATTTGTATCCCAAGATTGTTTTTGCTATTTGGGTCTTTTGTGGTTGCATACGAATTAAGGTTTTTTCCTATTTCTGTGAAAAATGCAATCTCTCTATCAAAGAATCTCTATCTCTCTCTCTCTTGATAGACATTGCATTGATTTCAGATTACGTTTTTTAGGTCTTTTGAAATAAAAAGGATGCAGAAGTTTTAGGGTACAGAAAGACTTAGAGACCAACCAAAAGTGATTTGACTGCCACTTTATTTTTTCACCCAAATGACAGTACATAATATTCAATCTGAGATTTTTTAAATGTCTAAGACATTTGGATACCACTTTGGGTGGAGGAGACAGGAAGCACAAAAGAGTAATCCAGAATTGACACTTGGGAAAAGGGGGTTGACTCCCTGACTGTTAGAAAGTAGAAATTAAAAAATAGGCAAAGGACCTAAACAGACATCTCAAAAGACATACAAGACATACAAAGGGTAGTATGAGATTTGTTAACTCTGGCCTGTAGCTGCTTGATGCTAAACTCACCAGGATTGCAAAATTGCCTTCTGTGAACTCAGTAGCTTCAGTGGAAGGTCCCCGTATGTCACGCAATTTTTTAGGTTCTTTTCTTAGTTTTGGCACAAGTGGTACCCTTTCAACAAATTTCAGCTTGGGCCTTTCAGGAATAGAAACATCTAAAAGGAGCACAGACAATCAAGAATAAGTAAAGCAACACATCTCAAAGGATCCATTTTCTTCCTAGAAAGATTTTATAACAATCAGATGAAATTCTTAAAGTTACCACTGAACAATAATTCCAAAGGTATATTACATTTTTCTTGTGGATGCTTTTAGTGACACTGGAATTTTTTTGGCTATGACAATGTTTCTAAACCTTTGAAGATAGCCAAGTTTTAACCTTTGAATCAAAAAGCATTTGTTAATCACTGATTTTGTGCGCAATACTGTAACAGGGACTATTTGGAAATCATTATTTTATTTAATCTTTAAAACAACTTGATAGCCTTGGTATTTTTTTAGGGCTTCCCTTTTTTTAAAGTTTAACAAACGTAAGTCAAAGGGTCAAATAAAACAAATAAATATACAGCTCAGTGAATTGTCAGAAAGTGAACACATGAACACACATCACTATAACCCAGGTCAAGAAACAGAACATTAGGTAAATAATATTTTTAATGTCCATTTTATTGAAGAGGAACCTGAGGCCTAGAAACATTTTATGATTTGGTCTAGGGTGCCATCCACTTAAACAGCAGAGGTAGACAACATGATACTTAAAAAAAAATTACACTATTGACTCTCTGGATGTTAATGGGGGTAGTGGGAAAAATACACGTACATGTACATGAAACTAAATTCTCCAGCTCTGCCACATTCTTGTTGAGAAACTTACAACCTAGGAATCCTTTCATCAATGCTTTTTAAAAAATATATATGCAGAGGCTTTTCATACTGAGATCTGCACAGAATCAACAATGTGCAAGAGCCGGGTGAAGGTGGGTGAGCACCACTTCAGGCCAGACACGGGACATCCTTACGATGTTTACTAGACAGTTAGGAATAGTAACAAGCATGGCTTTATGATGGAGACAAATATAAAACAGGCGACTTCAAGGAAATATCAAATTAGTAATATTAATGGAAATATCAAATTATTACTATCACGATCAGAGTTACTGCCTCCCCCACCAGCTTCTATATGCAGCTACAAAGAAACTTATAATGCTTTCTCTCACCTACAAGTCAAAATGTACTTCCAGAAAATACAGTAGTTTAACAATTATGTGCAGAAGACCCTCAGATGTATAGGCCCCACTCATTTTTTGATGTTTCCAGTATATTTAAAAAAATGATTAGATTTATAAAATTGTGGCTTATCTTCAATCTATATTTAACCAATTCTTTTCAATAATATTGTTAAATGACTGCATAGATGTAGTCTTATTTGGAGAAAACACTGTAAGTCCAGATTTGAGGCCAATTAGCCCTGGCTGAGTGGACCATGGGCCATAACCAGTGAAATAGCCTTAGGGGAGCTATCCCATTAGACATTTGCTCCATAAAAGCAGGGACCTATTTTGTTCTTTGGTTTATCTCTAGTGCTCAGAACACTTCTTGGCAATACAGTAGGTCCTCTATACATATTTACTGAAAGAGTGAATGGGGATATGAAGCCCATGAACACTCCTATGACTTCTCCCGCTCTCTGCTAAGTTCCATCAGGAAGAAGACTTACAAATAGGAAAAAGATAGGCTCTCACCTTCGTAAGTTGGCACTGGCAGCAGCGTCTTTATCCCAGCGCTGGTGGGCAGGGTTGCCCAAGAATCTACAAAGACAAACCAAGTTAAACTGAGACCTGGTACAACCTGGGCCAGAGGTACTTACTTACTCCTGACGGAGGTGTTTTATGAGGTACGCGACGCAGGTCCCGCTAAATGGGCTCCCAAGCGCAGGCCCCCAAAGAGGCCAGTCCAGGTCCATGGGCGGCGGCAGCGACCCCCCGCCCCTACGCGGTCGTGACCCTTTTGCACGAATCCCTACGGTGGAGGGGCGGCAGGATAGTGCAGCCCCTAACCAGTGCTTCAGCATGCATATGCAGAGCCGCCTTCGGGCTTAGGATACATAGCATTGGGGGGTGGGGTGGGGAGGAAAGTCTTCTTTATGGACCAAAAGAGACTTCTGACCTGACAAGGGCACCCGCAGGAGCGGTGCTCCGGCGCGAGCCAGCAGCTTCCACATAGTCGCGCGCGTCTAGCAGCACCTCGCTCGCTACAACGCCGACATTGGTCGCTTTCCGCCGGATAGAGAGCGACGCTCTAAAGTCTCGCGAGAATTGGGTAGAAACACAGCTCACTCGGGCCGGAAGTAGTGCTCTCGTTGGTCCACTTCACAGAGTGGCTCGACGGAAGCGGAAGAAACTGGCGCCTCAGAGCTCTGGGTGGCCCTGGAGTGGTTGGGTGGGCTGGGGGTCGTCGAAGTACTCGATGCGTCCATCAATGCCCAGGCGCTCTGTTGGCCTTCAGAGTTCTCTTCCAATCCCCGGATTTCCCCTAACTAAGGCGGCAAGGCCTGAATTTCTCTGCGGAATACAATTGTTAAGCTTGCAGTTCGCTTAGCAAGTTTGTCCCTTCCTATTCACTGCATTAAGCCTTTTTTTTCTAGGAGGCCCTCAGAGGCATTAGGAAAATACCACTGATTTGTCACTGGTTTAACATTTACTGAGCGCTTGCAGTGAGCCAGATACTGATGCTTCATTGTACTTAACTCCTTCCAAAAATCCATTAGATAAGTTATATTATACTTACTTTGCAGATTCCATACTAAGGGTGAAATGATTTAACTTTCTGTCACACAACAGGAAACGGGTATAGTCAGGATTTAAGCACAGTCTGATTCCTGAGAACCCATTGAATGGACGGACAGTCATAAGTTGATAAGTTAAAATGAAATATATATATAATTATTCTGGGAGAATGTTGAGTAAATCATTTTTATCGGCCTGAAGCTTTCTAATAATTAGAATGAGAAGAATATTTTTCCAGCTTCTAAGAACAAAGGTGATTAGCAAATTGAGACTCATGTCTGATGTACTTAAATCATAGTAAATCCGTGGCCTTTTGCCATGGATTAATTTCACAAATAGCAACAAATAAAACCTGGAAAGCTTACAAAGCTACTGGGAGAAATCTGTTACAATTTCATGCACTTGATTATCTGCATACTGAATCTGCATCAAAAGAGTTAAGGATTTTATTACAGCTAATCATTTCTATCCCAAGATTGTTTTTGCTATTTGGGGTCTTTTGTGGTTGCATACGAACTTAAGGATTTTTTCCCTCTATTTCTGTGAAAAATGCAATCTCTAATCAAAGAATCTCTATCTCTCTCTCTCTTTTGATAGACATTGCATTGATTCTTCAGATTACGTTTTTTAGGTCTTTTGAAATAAAAAGGATGCAGAAGTTTTAGGGTACAGAAAGACTTAGAGACCAACCAAAGAGTGATTTGACTGCCACTTTATTTTTTCACCCAAATGACAGTACATAATTCAATCTGAGATTTTTAAATGTCTAAGCACATTTGGATACCACTTTGGGTGGAGGAGACAGGAAGCACAAAAGAGTAATCAGAATCTGACACTTGGGAAAGGGGTTGACTCCCTGACTGTTAGAAAGTAGAAATTAAAAAATAGGCAAAGGACCTAAACAGACATTTCTCAAAGAGCATACAAGACATACAAAGGGCTAACAGGTACATTAAAAAATGCTCAGCATACTAATCATTAGGGAAATGCAAGTGTATGTTCCAGGACCCCTGTGGACACCAACAACTGTGGATGCTCTAGTCTCTTTTATAAAATGGTGTATTATTTGCATACAACCTATGCATGTCTTCCCACATACTTTAACATCTCTAGATTACTTATAATACCTAATGCAATGTAAATGGCTGTGTAAATAGTTGTTATACTGTATGTTTTTGAAATTTGTATGGTTTTTTTTGTTTGTTTTTTTTTCCTGAATATTATTGATCCACACTTGGTTGAATTGGTGGATGCAGGACTGTTGGCTATGGAGGCCACTGTATGATACAAAGTATGGATAAGAACCTAGTATTCTTATTTTTCTCAGTGGTTTCTAAAATCTCCCGAAAGTTGGTCTTCAGACCACCTCGCCTCAGACTCTCCTAAAACCTCATTAAAAAATGTAAAATCTGACTCTTAAGTCAGAAGGTCTGAAGGTGGGGTTCTGGAATTTTTATTGTAAACTAGCTCCATGGGTGTTGGAATGCCTAAAGAAGTATGAGATTCAGTGTTTTCTAAGTATGAAGCATCATTTCTGTACTGTCCAGGCCTACATCCACTGGGATTTACATTTTTGCATTTGTATAAAAATTATTCCACCTCAATTTTTAATATTTCTTGTTTTAAAATCAAAAGATAAAACCTGTAGCATAGTCCCAGGTCTGATTGTTGATGTAAATGGCACAAACACACACAACATATACATATATACACACACGGGTGCATATATATGTTGTATGTATATGTGCATGCATGTGTGAGCATGCATGCTGTCTCATTTGAATAAACAGATTAGGTTTTTGCTTATCAGTTTCTAATAATGATGTCATAATGTAGTAAATCACTGTGGAACTTCCTCATTCTGGGAAGCTCATAGAACTAACAGACTTGTTAATATTAACTTACTCATCAATTTAACTTCTATATGATTTAGAGCATTTCTAAGAGGACAACAATACTATAGGTTTGCCAGAACACAAAACAATTGCTCTTTAATACAATATTAATAATTAACATATCAGAGTGATTTACTGTTTACAAAGGATTTGATATGCACATCGATTTTTAATGAGAATCCTATTTTGTAGATAATAATGGTGGATATGGGTCACAGAAATGTTAAATCTTTGCATGGAGCTGGATTTTCACACAAGTATTCATCCATTTAATAAGCATCTCTGGAGCATCTACCTTCCTGCCACGAGCAAAATAAGTCTGCACGTATTTCAGAGCTTAAAAGTAAATTAAATTCGATCTCAACTTTAGGAGTTCCTAAATTTAATAAGCGAGCAATTTCTAGCTGTTCTCATCTATCAACTCAACAGGCACAAAGAATGGATCAATTCCTTAATTGTTTGACCAAAAGAGAGAACAATGCCAACTAGTGCTTTGGTTTTTGTCTTGGCGTTCACAGATTATATCTATGGTATTTCTATGAATGGGTTCACCATAATGAATGGTTTCTTTTTTTTTTTTAATTCTCTGATAAGGAGTTTATTTATTTTTTATTCAGGATATTATGGGGATACAAACAATTTGGTTACATGTAATACTGTTTGTCCCTCCCAAGCCATGTCTACAAACATGTCCCTCCCCATACAGTGCATTCCACTTCCACTAGTTGTGAATTTACTCCCCCCAGCCCCCCAACTGGCACCCAGTGGGTATTACTACCATGTGAACACCTTAGTGTTGGTCAGTTAGTACCAATTTGATAGCGAGTACATGTCTGCATGTTTCCCATGAAGGATGGGCTCAATCTCTATCCAGGATATATAAGAGGTGCTAGATCGCCTGATTTTTTTGAGTTGAGTAGTATTCCATGTTATACATATACCACATTTTATTAATCCACTCATGTATTGATGGGCACTTGGTTGTTTCCACATCTTTGTAATTGTGAATTATGCTGCTATAAACATTCTAGTGCAGATGACTTTAGATAGAATGTTTTTCCCCCTTTGGGTAGATGCCTAGTAGTGGGATTGCTGGATTAAATGGTATTTCTATTTTTAGCTTTTTGAGGTATCTCCAAATTACTTTCCATAGGGGTTGTACTAATTTTCATATCCTTCTGTAGAAGGTTTGTCAACTGGTGTTGACTCTTACCAGCCAAAATTAGAGTTATGATTGTCTTTGAAAGCTTAAATTTTTTTCAAAGTTCTATATCTATCAAATAAAATATATATTGAATATAGATATATTTACATATTTCATATATAAATTATATAAAATATATTTTACTTTGATTTTACCCAGAACAAACATCAGAAATGAAAGGGAAGAGTTATGATATAATATTTAGCTAGTTCTGAACTCTCTGAAAGTTTCGTATGAAATGCATTTGGTCATTTCATGTGTCTGTGTGTGTGTATATATATGTATATATATGTACATATGTATGTATTTTTACATTAGGTGATTTGAAAAAGAGTACTTGGTATAAGAAAAATATAAAAGATTTAAAAAATATATTATTTCAGTTGTAGAATTAGGGAATGTGTTATTTAATCAAGAAGATTAAATCTCCAAAAATAATCTCCAAAAATGTCAGCTGGACTTTTCCTTTTCCCCTCTTCTTAGGTTTAAATGATGACTGGCAGTCATTACATTGAGAAGCTAGAACTTTTATTTTCATGGGTCACAGAGGTTGAGACTCCAGCGAACTTTGCATCTTTATTCCCATGGTAGTTTTCCATGTTTTGAAGGAATATGGTGGCATCATAAATATTCACTTTTGTGTAGATTTGAAATGAAGTGGAAAAAATTCCACCCATCCTTTCGGAGATGTCCAATGGAGGCTGAACCCACCTCCTCCTTAGTACTGTGTGAAGTTAGCTGTGATATGCTCGTGGTCGAAGGGTATGTAGTCAGCAACCCCTGGAAACAAGCAGAGTAACATGAGGTGACTGAGCTACATGTAACTGCCTCCACACCCCGTCCTCCAAGTATCAGCCCATTAAATTTGTTAAAGGAGTAAAATCATCCCAGAGAGAAATGGGCAATTTGATTAGTATTGAAAGAACATGGAACTGGGATTTAAGGAGTTCTTGTTTCCAGTCTCTAGGTTGCCATTTTGTGGCCTATGCCTTTGGGTAAACCCCTTAAATGTTTCTTTTTCCTCACATTTAAAATTTTGTTAATAATATTTATTCTGAAGAGTTATTTTCAGAATTAGAAATAATGACTGTTGGGTGCCTAATACAGTACCTGACACATAGTAATTGTACAATAAGTGATGGTTATTGTTAAAATGGCTTCTTTAAGCCAAAATTAGAACATTCATGGGAGGACTCATGTTTCATTTTTGAAGATATGTAAGAAATAAAATATGGCAGCGTGTTGAGACTTCTTATCTTTCAGGACAGGAAACATAGATGATGACAATATCCACGATCATTTGGGTACAAGCAACAGAAAGAATGACAATTCCAGGCCTCAATCTTTTGAGATTTCAAAGGCCTTTCTCTTCACTATTCTTTCTCCCAGGGAATAAAAGTAATTGTCAGACATGAAAATGAGCCTGATTTAAGTTCCTGGGGCAATTTCTTGAGATGAAGGTGGTTGGAAAACTAATAGTAACAATGATGACAACCATTTTTGAACACATGACATACAAAAGGGACTCTATTTAATCATTTTAAGCACATTATTTCTAATCCTCATAAGAACCATGAAGTGGTTATTACTATTTTCATTTTATAGCTATGGAAACTGTAGCTTAGAGAAGATTTATAACTTATCTCATCCAGCCAGAAAATAAGAAAAGGAGATTCTAACCAAGCCCTGTGTGACGCCAAGATCTTTCTTATATATTTTGCTGCAATTCCACAAATTCTGACTGGCCAAATTTTCTTGAATACAGATACACTCTAAGGAAAACATCTCTCCCATTGTAATATTAGATAATGAAGCATCTTTATGAAACCATGATCTTTCCTCTACTGTGACTTTGGCTTTACATGTCTCTGCATGGTGACACTTAAGCTCAGGTTAACTAGGTGACATCATGCTTAGAAAAAACCATGTACCAGTGCTCTTTAAGTTGGAGAATATTTTAATATTTGTGCCAAAACTTTAACAAATATTAAGGTTTTGCTGAAGTCTTATTCTTCCTGCTTTCTCTACACAAACATGCACACAAAGATATTTCTCTTTTTGGAGATTTTTTTAAAAACCATTGTAGCAAAAAGAAGACTAAGAATGAATCTTTGGCTCACGCCTGTAATGCTAGCACTCTGGGAGGCTGAGGTGGGCGGTTTGCTCTAGGTCAGAAGTTCAAAACCAGCCTGAGAGAGACACCGTCTCTACTAAAAATAAAAGGAAATTAATTGACCAACTAAAAATATATATACAAAAAATCAGCCGGGCATGGTGGCGCATGCCTGTAGTCCCAGCTACTTGGGAGGCTGAGGCAGTAGGATTGCTTGAGCCCAGGAGATTGGGGTTGCTGTGAGCTAGGCTGATGCAATGGCACTCACTCTAGCCTGGGCAAGTGAGACTCTGTCTCAAAAAAAAAAAGAAGAAGAATGAATCTTGAGTAAAGCTATTGTAGAAAGCACACTTGTCCTAGAGTTTGGAAACCTGGGTTTGAATTTCTGCTGTAACGTGCTAAATGCATGCTTTGTACTAGTCCCTTTCATGTCTGTAACACTTTCCTTCTTGGTAAAAAGGGAGTCACTAATACGTATAGAATTGATCTATCTAATGGCTGTATGTATACTCACATAATATATGCATATAGATATATATGTAATTATTTTATATACAACTACTGTATATACATATGGAATTTCATAGTTATTTACCAATTGAATGAATGAATTAAATAAAAGAATTAAGGAATATAGCCTTCAAACTATGAAAGTGCCCATTCCCTTTCTTCTCTCACCTTCATTCAGAGGTGTTGTGCCACTAAGGAACTCCCAGTATGTCTTGTGATTAATATTCTCAGCAATATTGTTGATAGAAGAGATGATAAGGCCCCAAGATGTCATTGTAGTTTCAAATCTAAGAAAAAAAATCATGTGTGATTACTACTTCACTTTAGGTCAGGCAATAATGGAGTAAGGTGTAGGGGACAGAGACATCCTGAATGCTTTAAAGATAAGATAAAATTATGCTTAAGAGAGAAAATGAAAATGACTAATGAATATGAAATTAATTCACTTGGAATTAAATGAGTAAGATGTGCAACGTTTGGGGGATGGACATGCTTGAAGCTCTTACTCGAGGGGGGAGGGGGGCATGGGAAATATATGTAACCTTAACACTTATACCAGCATAATATGCTAAAATAAAAAAATAAAAAAACGAAGCTGAAAACAAAACAAACAAAACAAAACAAAACAAAATGAATGAATTTTTTAAACACCTATCAATAAGCAAATTAAAAAAATGCAAATGTCCAACAATGGGCAAATAATTAGAGGAGTAATGGAATGAATATCCAAGATCAACTATTTGGAAGTTATAAAATTATATTTTTCAATAATTTTCAGTAACATGGGAAAATACATAAAAATGTTCAGTGAAATCATGGGATACAAAGTTTACATGAAATAGCTGTCCCATGTAGTTGATAGTTCACAACTATTTGTAATATGCACAGAAAAAAACACATCTATAAAATTATAAAAAATATTAGCAGTGGTTATATCATGGAAGGACTGTAGATGACTTTTGTTTTCTTCTTTATGCTTTTTTTGTCAAAATGCATGCTACGTGTATTTATTGCATTTACAACCAGAAAAAGAAAAACCAGGCACAATTAAAGCTAAGCTCAGAGAAGTACAGTATAATATATTCAGAGGGGTTGAGGTGCAGCGTTTATCTTGACGTGCTTCTTTAAGTTAGGTAAGTTATGGCACCAGGCAGTAGGCAGCAGATACAATGTGCTCAACAACAGAACCTCATGGAGTAAATCTCTATGTAGTATCACTCAGTGGTCAATTCCTTGGCTTTTGTCAGTATTCCTTCTTGACATCCCGCTGCAAAATTTGGATCATGTCTTCTTTTCTTTGAAAGCATCTCCTCTTTTCCTTTCCATGACTTGGCATTTCTTTACTGCTATAGCTTAGACTTCTCCATTATTTCCTCACCACTTCCTCTTTTGGCAAACTATAAAATTCCTCAAAGTTTATTTTTCTCCTCTGTGATTTATTTTTGTATCCTGCTCTTCCCTGACAGTGGGATGGAAAGAACATGAGCATCAGACTCAGTCCAATTTGGGTTCAGCTCTCAACTCTATTGGTTACACACTATGTGGTCTTAGGAATGTTACTTAGCTTCTTTGGGCCTAAAGGTTCTGTCTGTAAAGTGGGGATACTTGGATCTGTCCTATGGTTTTATTGGGTGCGTGTGTCTGCCACCTATTGCACAGCTCCTTGACTTCAGCCATCACCTCTTTCAGATGACTGTCCAATATTTTTTGCCTGTCTTAATGTCTTTTCCTAGAACTTCTTTTATACCTCCCCAAGCCTGCTGATAGTTCTATTTTGAAGACCCACCATTAAACATGTCTAAGGTAAGGAATTAAATCTCTTTTTTTGAAAGGTGTTCTTTCTTCTCAGCACTCCTGTGAATAGTTCTGAAGTTTCTTTCTCTTGACCTCCACATCTGGTCACTCGCAGAGCCCTGGGGAGGCTTCCTTGATGTGAGTCCGTTTATCCTAGGTAAAGTCCTCATCACTTCACAGCTTCACTAGTGTAGTTGTGCCCTAGATTTCAGCCTTGTCTTCTATTCTCACCACCCAAGTAACATTTTACAACATGGCTTTTCTTAGTCAAAAGCTTGCAATGCTTTCCTGTAATATGAAGTCTAGTCTCCTTAGTCAGACATTTCAGCTTTTTACATGATCACCCAACCTACCCTTGTAGATATATATCACTCATTCAGTTCGGTTATATATTCTCTCCTCTAGTCAAGTTGGCTTATTTGCTGGCCCCCAATTCCTTGCTTGCTTCATTGCAAATGCTTTGTTTTACCCATTTATTCTTCCTACAACACCCCTTTCCCACATCTTCCTAAGTAGTACCTATTCTTTGTGGTCCAAAGCCACGGAGCCTTCTTTGACTATTCTAATCTACAATGGACTTTCCCTCCTCTGAATTTCTGTTTCTAAAACTCCATCATAGGTTGACTTGTAGGATTTAATTCTTCATGCCAGCCTTGCCTATTTACTAGATTGCAAGCTCCTCAAGAGGCTGTCGAATAAAAAATCTGTTAAATGATCAAAAGGGGAAAAAAAAAAAAGAACATGTAGGTGGACAAAGAGAGAGAGAGAGAGAATCAGAATTCGGGTTAGACCTGGAGAGAACGGTGAACACCACTTGTAACACTCACTTGAACACGGGATTTTTGCGCTGTGCTTCTTCAAGGACAATGAGTAGCACCGACCCTCTCTTCACACTAACGTTGATGGTCACATTGAAGAGTAGCTCCACCCCCCTCAGCTGGTTATTGATGGTGTATATGACAGTGATGTTGGGTGCTGAGGTGGGGACAGGGCTAAGATCGTTGGGTAGAGTTGGTAGCACTTCATGACCTGTCAAGAGCAAGGATTATGGGGTTTATATTATGGGTGCAAGATCTCTGTTGCTGGTAACTCATCATAGAAAACATTTCATGAAAATAGTAGGTTTCATATAACTTAACAAAGCACTTGTACAATGAATCTAGAATCCTGGCAAGGAATCCACGGTCACTTAGTTAAAGCTGGGAAGTTATTGGGAAGCAGCCTAAGGAGTTAGGTGAATTCGGTAGTGTTTGGTATGATTGGGATCAGTTTGCTTGATTTTGGTCTCTGTAGATTCTGAATTGAGATAGATAATAAGCCTATTAATATCTTCTTGTCTTAGGAAGTTCATATAATGTAGGAGAAATAATACTTTGTTTTAGTATTTGACTAAAAAGAAGAGTTGGAGGAATCCATACCCGACACCAGTTACCGCTCAGGTGGTAAAATTTTTATACAGGAACCCTCACTTTCTAAATGCATATTTTCAGCAGAGGTTGAATTTGAAATATCTCTGAATTACATTAGTAATTGGATAAAATAAAGATATTTCTAATTTAAAAAGTAGCATGCCAAGTGTCCACCCCATCTTGTTGGTGTGCTGTGAGCATCAAGTTTTCATATTTAAATCTTTAAAGCTCAGCTTAAATGTAAACTCTCTTCTTCTCTTAAGCCTCCCAAACAAAATCAACAATAGGTCACTACTTTTCTTCTTTTGCTTTTGCACAGTATGTGGCTTTAATTTCTATTTAATACTTATACCCTCCTTCCAAATATTGTAGTATTTGTCTATATATCTGTCTCCTGACTTTGTAAAGAGCGGATATGATAAGATATGCATAATGTTGGGTGGTACATTTGTCAAATGAATGAACGAAGCTATATGTGATTTGGTTGTTAGGATCATGGACCTTCTCCTTTCCATAGCGTCCCACAAAATGCTTTGCCCATAAATGCACAATGAATGAAGTAGACATGGGGCTGAATTCTGAGGGCAGGATGGTATGGCTGTATGCTAGCATACACTCTTGGGGACTGGAAGTCAGGAATGCTCTACCCACATGAGAATAATGGACATAACACGACTATATGTCACTTAACAATGACCAACATATTATTCCTGGCATAAGTTGCTGGTTTATAACATAAAGAGAGGCAAATATTAAAAGGTTCTTACCAGGGTTACAAGACACTTGGGGCACATCTAGGTACGTCTTGCCTTTTAGTGAAGGGAGGATTTGGGCAACGGACATGGGGTTGTGGAATTTCCCCTGCTTAATCTCATCAAGTATTATATCCATAGTCTTCTCGCAGTTCCACCCCTTGTTAGGTTGCTCAGGTGTTACAGAGAGAGCCTGGGGCAGGATGAGAGAGAGAGAGAGAGAGAGAGAGAGAGAGAGAGAGAGAGAGAGAGAGAGAGAGATATTAGGCATAGATGCTGAGAGTTGGCCCTAACACATCTTATAAGAGACAGACTTGATCACTAATCGTGATCACCCGGTCACCTTAAATCCAAAACCAAAGCTACACAAGGTTTGGAACTACGTTTGTCTTCTTCAGTGCTATATCTCCACTCCTTAGCACAGTATCTATCACTTAGCAGTTACATAACAAATACCTGTGCAATGACCAGATCCAGGGAACACTAGTAGGCTGCTGTATTTGCTAACAATTCTTGCATGCAGGGTGAGGGTGAGAGCTGGGCAAAGCATGCTCCAGAGGGAGCTCTAGTCTAGGACAACATGGCCACATAAACAATAGACTTCATGTTTTGCACTGTCATGCACAGCCTTTGGCGGGCTCCTCCCTCACTTTGTGATCTTGTCAGAGGCTCCACAATACTGGCCATGGAGTGGACTCGTGGCCTGGGTTGGGCTGATGATAATGCACCATCCCCTTGGTAACAGGGATTGGTGGACATACGCACTAATCAGAGTCCTTCTCTGACATCTGTATGGGAGAGAGAAATTTTTTTTTTTTTGGGAGAGAGAAATTTTTTTTTTTCCTGATGGGGTTATTCAACTGAGATCATGTAAGTAAACACTGAGCTGCTAGTGACCATCTTCTTCAGCTACTTTGAAGTAGCAGCATGAGAGAATGAGGAAACAAGGGCCGAGAGATAGAAAAACAGCGACCCCTGATATTGTGATTTGAGCCCTTTCGTCTAGTTATTCCTGAAACTACCCATTCCAGCTCTGGAGTTCCCAGTGTATATGAAATAGCGAATCCCCATTTTTTTTTTCTTTAGCAAAAATAACTTGGGTTTTTGTTACTTGCAAAATGGATCTTGATTAATACATCAATAAGTCCACGTGACTTTTCTGAGTTTTATATCTCATGGGTAAAATAGAAATCATAATTTCTGCCTACAGCTGGGGAGATCATTTGAGGTCCGGAACGGCCAACATGCAAAAGCATTTTGTAGTGTGTCATGTGGATGCTGCCACACCGCCTCTCCCTTCACAGTTGTGCTGACTGCGGCCACCAGAGCATGTTAATGGGCTGGGATTGCTGATGGCTGACTCACCTGAAGCTTGGGATGGGCAACAGGAGAAAGAAGAGGGGAGTCAGAAATGGCTTTCTCTGCTAGGGGCAGTGGTGTGAGAACCAGACAGTCGTGACCATCATTGTTGACCTTGGCGACTGTGAACCATGGCTCTGGATAGAGGCCACTTTACAAGGCAGTTTGGTTTAAAGGAGCCTCAGGTACTCCTCAGCAACAATATCTTGTCCACTTGCCTTATGCATCTCCCAAATTCCCCTAAGTGAGATGTAGCCCCTTGGGATTAAAATCACCAATGGCAACACTCTAGATAGGAGTAACACATTAAGCCATTAGAGGTCATCAGTAACTTTTCAAGAAGTTTGCCAGATCCCTTTTCAAGGTTAAGTTCCTATCAGAGGAAACTTGAAAGCAGCCAAATATTGATGAAAGAGAAAAGAACAGTTCTAGAACAGAGGAAATGCCTCATGAGTGCCTTTGGGAAGGGGTGAGGGTCCCTGGGCCACTTGAAGGGCATGCACATTTTGGAAGACAGTGAGCAAAGGCTGAAAGGGAGATTTAACAGCCCTATTGTTCTGCTGGGAGAAACCATGAACAATTATTAATCATGACATTGTGCCTGTGATTTTTTTTTTTTTTTGCATACGACATTTTATTTAACCTAGTTACAAGCTTGCTATTGTAGGGAAAATGAAACTCAGAGAATTTCAATATTTGCCTGAGAGGGTGCCAGGTCTGAGGTTCAAACCCAAGTTGTTATAGCTCCAGAGCCCTTTGATTTTCTACGCCAGAACATTTTAGATTAGAAAAAGTTATGTAATAGACAGCTGGTGATTTCAGATTTCAGGCTGCCTGGGTAAACTCCAGATAGGGGCAGTAAGGCGGGTAGAAAGAGGGTTAGGACACCAACTAACAGGAAAGCCACATGGCCTTTCGTATCTAGATATGGATGAAGTCTTGCCTCTTGATGGGCAAAGCTTTAATGCCCAGGAACAGCTTATCAGAGTGTACATAGCAGGTGATAAAATACCAGACAGGACTCACAAACCAAATCAGCAAAAGTAAACAGTTCTCTGGTGCTAAGTTGAAGCAAGGTTATTTTAAGCAAGTTACACACACAACCTCCCCACCCCAAACCAGTTAACATCCCTTCCATACTGTCTTTTTTCTTCCACAAATCTTTACAGACCCAAACCCTTGGAATGCCCTTGTATAATTCAGCCATAGAAAAAAATCAGGGTTTTGTTCTGTGACAGAATCTCACTGACGATGCCATTGGAGTGAGAACTTTACTTTTACTCTTGTGTTTAACATTAACTAATTCCTGGGTTGTTTAGGCCCTTGTATAATTTTTTTTTGTGTGGAATACCTATACCAGTCTCTATTGTTTTCCTCAGGAGACAATGTCTTTCTAATAGAGGTCCAGAGGTATATTAGGTTTAGGGCTGGCATCGTAACTTCATGATTTTTGCTTTCCTGGGCTTTCTGAGCTGGGGAGTTTATGGTGCAATTTTTCTATTAAATATCCACAGGATATTTTGAGACTTTGGAACACAAACTCCTTAGTTTGGATTAGAGGATTTGGCCACAGATGGCTTTTTAATTTTTGATTCTAGTTGGTTATCTTTGCCCCTCTCATTGGTGCATCTGCCTTCCATGAAGGATGCTGTCTTAATCAACTAGGGTGTTGGATTTGGGCCTATCAAATCCAACATCTTATAGAATCTTATAGAGTCCAAGCCTGGGAATACATGCTATGGAAGCATAGGATTGAGTATGGACATGGCTACCAGACAGACCTGGCTATACCACTTACTAGAGGTGTTTTTGAGAGGTCAAGTCAACTTTGGATCATTTTCACTAATCATTTTGAATAAAAATCTGCCTTTTCTGGATCAGGATGAAGGGCTTAAAAAAGAACACATGGCTGGTAAGACTGAATTAGAAAATTTCATATTTTTTGAGAACCTGCTATAATATCCTATTGTTTGTTTATGCATCAAAGTTTCAAAAGTCTATAAATATTATTAATAAATTGATCATTATTAATATTAAACTAATATATTTCTTGATTTCTTTTTTGTTTCATTTTTTTCCCTAAGGAAGAGAAATGAGTAAATATAGAATTTCACACTTTATCCATAAGGTAGGAAGGTATTAACACTCACCTACATTTTACCAGTAGATAAGCTGAGGAACACGTACTACAAGGAATATACCTCCAGTCACACTAGCTGGACTTTCAGAGGCTGAACTTAGCTGGACTTAGCAGAGGCCTGGAATCTTGGTCCTATAGTCCAGGATAATTGGTACAGACCCTACTAGGAGCGTCTGGGAAGTGTTTACCTGCATGGCGAGGCCAGTACTGTAGATGTCTCCGATGATGCCATTGCTTTTGATCCTTAGGCTGATATTCTCCACAATATCCTTTAGTACCTGGCCAAACAGGGTTCTGTAAGCCTCCTCTGAACCTACGGGGATCTTGTTGTACATGCAGGTCAGAGCCAAAGTTGCCACTGCTCCCGTGTCTGCGAATCACAGGGAAGGAAGACACCAAAATCACTGCCACGATGAATGAACCGCTGACATTTATTGTGTCCTTACTATATCCTGGTTACATGATCTCATTTACTCCTCAGGACAACCTGAGAAATAGGACCTATAATTATCTCCATTGAAGAGATGAGGCAATGGAGGCTCAGAGAAGTAAAGCAACTGCTCAAGGCCACACAGCCAGCAAGTAGCAGTGCCAGGACCTGAACCCAGATGTGTGCAACTCAACAGCTCATGCTTTTAATTGATGTAGACTGGCAGTATGTTCAATCCCACTTCTCTTGTGCTGGTGTTTATCTTTCAGGATGTCACCAGTTCTCGAAGCCCCCTCCCTCCCCCATCGCCACCTTTCAGCGAAGCTTCTTGGTTGTCTCAGCACAGCAGGGGCAGTCTCTTTCCTGAACTCCTTCAGCATTTGTTGTTTATACCCGTTTAGCAGTCTTGGTGCTCTCTGCTGGGTTTTGTTGTGACTGTGCTCTGTGAACTCTTGGGTGGTGGGAACTTTGCAGCCCCCATAGCACCCAGCACAGGAACTTTTTCATTACTTGCATGCAATCAATACACATACACATGCAATACACAAGCTCTGGGATGACAAGGCCAGAACCAATGAAAGACTTACCAGGTGGCACCTTTGATTTCATTGATCTTCCCCTCCCCACCCTAATCTCCATCTGAAAGTTGCATAACTTCCTTCAAGGTGATACTATTATTGAAACCCAGAGGCAAGGAAGCCCAGCCTTCCTGAACAGGCAGAGATGGCCCAGCAATGTGTGAGGTCCTGGATGGGACAGGGAGACCGGTCTGTTCTTGGCCCATGGGGAGAGTACTAGAGGAGCTGTTCAGCTACTTGTCTGATAGAAACTCAAACAAAAGAGGTTGCTGAGGAGGCACATAGTGCTACTCCGTAGAGGGTGGCAGAGGAGAAAAAGGGACCATGAATGTGGGTTGTGACGGGCCCCCCCCCAACAGAGAAGGGATCACTATACACAGGAGGGTGGACAGAAAGGGGAACCATGATGTTGTAGAGGAAAAGGCGCCCATTCGCAAGCACATATCCCTGCAGAACAAAGAAATAAGGTGGTCCCAGAGCTTCCTTGAAGGCAACACTGTGGCTTTAGGGTTCACAAAGCAGCTGTTTAACAGAGAGTATTTAGATGTAATTAAGGAGAAGCATTGAGAAGAATGGAGAGTGGAAGCATCAGTAGTCATTAAAGAGGGGTGCAGGGTAGGAATGAGGCAAGACATTAATATTCAATTTGGGAGCAACTGTGACTCACGTGCACGTGGAGGTTCTGCAGCAGCCAGACATTTCAAGTATCGTCCTTGCTGCTACATGTCACTGCCTTCCCTTCCTTCATGTACTCCTTAACTCACGTGTCCGGCAAACTTTTACTAAGTGGCTCCCATCTGCCGCTGATGGAAGCGACAGTCGATGGTCGTCAGCTCCTCCTCCCACTCCCCGGCCAGCTGCAGCGTTCAGAGTTCTGTGCCTCTGGCGTCCCCAGCTCAAGGCGGTGGTGACCTACTCACCCACGTTGAAGGGAGAGGAATTGGCCAGCAGGGTCTTGGCAAAGCGGACTGCTATCGGCAAGGTCGCCTCGGAGTTCTTCTGGCACAGTGCCAAAATCGCCAGACTGGGCCCGTAGAAGGCTGACGCCTCGGCGTTGGGGCCTAGAAGGGGACACGGCACCTTCATTAGACTAACATTCAGCATGATGAGGACATTTGTGAAGACAGAACAGCCAAAACCTTGAAATAGAAATTGCTAGAAAACAAACCCATCTTCAAAGACAGACACAGTATTGGCAAAGGGAAGCGTCCGTGTTCCTCAGAATAAGAGTGTCACCTGGCATTTGGATAGATAAAAAGGGATGATGCTGTCTTCAGACAGGAGGTGCCTGACAAGTCTGTCCCTCGGGTAATGGTCTTTTTTAGGTCATTTTTGGATTGGAAGAGACTCTCTCACTTGTAGGATTGTCAGAGGGACCAGAGTGAAGGGTGCATGTGTCTGGTTTCCTAACTTTCCATCCTCCCTACCCCACCATTTCCCTTTCTGGGTTTAAAATTCCCAGGGAGGACCACGCGCCTCACTCTCCCCTCCCTTCCAATGAGGTCCTACTTGAAGGTGCCCAGTTCTCCATTTGTTTTTGCAGAATTGATACTCTATTCCCAGGGTCTCGGCAGGAGGAGGTGAGGGCCATAATGGTGAGGGCAAGCTGGCCAGTGGTCAGGTCTGCAGAAGACAGAACAAAGCAGTTAGACAAAGACATTCGCAGGGGAGAGACCACCAGGGCCCAGGGCTGGGGTCCCTGCTGCTTCTTCTTTTAATTTTTTTAATCATTAGTAGTTGAACATGGGTCTCTGCTTCTTATCCAGATCATTTTGACGTTTTAATAGTGTGAGTAGTTTTTTGATCTGTCTTTCCAAAGAAAGAAATGCAGAAAAAATACTTAAGGAAATATTTGTATTTAATCTAGTGGCCTCTGTACAGACAGATGACAGACCATCAAGAATCCCTGGCATTTGATTAGAAAAGCGGCAAGAATACCTATACAATCCTATACCAAAAAATTTACAGTTACAAAATAATTTAAGCTTTAATATCTAACTTGAGCCTCAAGACAACTCCTGGGAGGTAGGCAGAACAGAGATTATTTATTATTATCATTGTTATTATTGGTAGTTGTGTTATTGTTATTAGAACCTTCTGGAAGGTGAGGCTGAGGAGGATCAAGTGACTTGTTCAAGGTCACTGAGCTAATAAGCCTGCTCTTTCCACACCTAGTCTAGTGCTCTCTCTGTGTTACTGTCCCTCTCCACGAATGCTCTGACTTCCCCATATTTCTTTCCAGGTACCTTACAGGTATATAGGGAAAGGTGCGTGGACAGTTCAGGGACAGTCAGAGGCAGCACTGGGGTGGGGGGACATGAAGTTGGGATCTGGGGGTGGCGAGTGGCGTGCAAGATTCAGGGAAACACGCGAGGGGCTCAGGTGTCTCACCGGCTGTGTTGCTGGCCATGAGCTCATAAGTCAGAAGCTTCTGGGCCTCCACGCTGTAGGCTCCGGCCAGGTTCATGGCAATCAGGATGCTGGGGTTTGGGAAGGAGGAGGAGGTCACCGAGTTCTCCATGAGCACTTGTATGCCATCCACCAAGGGCTGCTGTGCGGAGGGGACGGCTGAGGAGAGGAAAGCCATTTACAAATCCCTGAACCTTTGTTCCTTCTCAGAAACATGATCCCTGTGTCTCTTACACCTTTTAGGAGAAGACTTGATTAGCATTGGCATCCCAAGTGACTGAAGAGAACTGAAGAAAACATTGAGATTTTTCTTTGGAGGCCAGTTAGTCCCTATATCTTCTCAAATAACTCATGTTTTTAAGAAAGTGATTTTTTAATTTAGTAACTCCAAGTAACATGGCTCACAAGCATTTCTTTCTTTTTTTTTTTTTTTTGAGACAGAATCTCACTCTGTTGCGCAGGCTAGAGTGAGTGCCGTGGCATCAGCCTAGCTCAAACTCCTGGACTCAAGCAATCCTGCTTGCCTCAGCCTCCCGAGTACCTGGGACTACAGGCAAGCGCCACCATGCCCGGCTAATTTTTTCTATATATATATTAGTTGGCCAATTAATTTCTTTCTATTTATAGTAGAGACGGGGTCTCGCTCTTGCTCAGGCTGGTTTCAAACTCCTGACCTTGAGCAATCCGCCCACCTCGGCCTCCCAGAGAGCTAGGATTACAGGTGTGAGCCACCGCGCCCGGCCAAGGCATTTCATATGATTTCTAGCCCCTTCCTAGAAATGACTGATTTCCATGCATCCATTTTCTTTCTGTCACTCTGCCATGAAGCATAGTAAAGATTTAGGATATGGCCTGTCCTCAGCAGGTACCCAAACCTCCCTCTGGTGGTGGTATCTGGTTACCATAGTCACCAAATGTCTGTCTTTGTATCATCAACCATCAGTCCTACTTCCATCTCTCATCAGCAGAGCTCAGTGTCTGAGGTCTCTGCCTTTCTGCAGGTAACTGGCTCTTTGGTCTCCTTGGAAAAAAACATCATACTTACAACAAGAGTTCCGGATGTGGGTGACGGTCCCAGCCACAGCCCAGAGAAGGCTCAGGAGGTGGAGGGTGAACCAGCCCATCTCCCTCTCTTCTGTCCTGTCCACGTCTCCCGTCCACAGGTGCCAGTATTTGCAAGTGGAGTGTTTCGCTGCCTTCTCTTATATGTGCTTCCCTTTGTAATGCAGTCTGTTCCTGGACCCAACCACTCCTCACTACCTATGCTGACCTCTCCTTCCCTGGTACAGCTAATTTCCATTTGCTTATCTAAGTTTACCTACTATAGACCCTCCAAGGTGTCTGAAGGTGACTTCTAGGTGGCACAGTCCTATGGGAAGCTTAGGGCTGAGTGTGCAGTGAGGGCAATGATTGAGAAAGTGTCCTTTTCCAAAATCCTGGGTCATTACACTGGGGCGTTTGGCTAATGTGCCATGTCAGCGAGACCTATCCCAGGTCCTATTGTATCCGGTCAGACAACCTCCTGGCTGTTTATCCCCAGCCATTGCCTTGATATTGGGGGATGTGTAGGCATCAGCTCATTTTATGGTCCAAGGCACCTGCTTCACCATATGTCCTTTGAGGCTCTCAGGTAAGGAACTGCGGAGTGCAGTCTGGCTTTACACAATTAATTAAGTTGGCCTGGACCCGGGCTCTAGCCTAGACTCTTTCTTTAAAGGTGTTTGACATTAATCAAGAAATTTATTTAAGTTTCCAAGAAATGATTTTGTTTGATTTCTCTTTCCTTATCTGGGGATTAAAGCAGTCTCAAACAAATACCCGAGGCTTTCAGATGTTATCTTTTAAAGGAAGTAATTAGAAAAAACGTGGGATTGATTACATATACATAGTTTCCCCAGAAGTGTAGCTACATTATAAAGCAAAGTATGCCTCCTTATAAGAGAGAACTGTACACAGTCGCTTGAAATTATGAACGAGGGGGCTTAATTTTTTCTGCATTTTAAGTAGCTCCCTTGAAGGGGACATTCTCCAGTGGCCCTCATTTGAGAATAAAAGTCAAAGTTCTCTCAATGAGCTACAAGACCTTAGAAGATCTGGCTTCTGGTTTCCTTTCCAACCTCAGGTCCGACCATTTTCTCTTCTGCTCACTCTGCCCCAGCCACGTGGAACTTCTGTTCCTCGAACACAGCGGCCACCTTTGCTCTTGATGTCCCCTCTGCCCCGGCCTCTCTTCCTCCAAATAGCCTCATGGCGGCTCCCTCACTTCCTTCATGTCTCTGCTCAAAGGTGGGCTTTTCGAGAGGCCTTCCCAGGCCACCATCTGTGAGACAGCCTCACGTCCACTGACACCCACCAAGCCCCTGCCCTGCTGCGACTCATCACCCTGGGACCCGTCACGCCATATGCGGGCTTGTTCATTGTTTGCCTTCCTCCCCCAGAGAATGTCTGCTCCAAGGGGCCAGGGGCGTTGTCTCTTTTGCTCATGGCTCTCTCCCCAGCACTGGCAACATGACCTAGCTCACAGTACGAATCAAGTAATTTTTTTTTTGAATGAATGAATCAATGAGCAAATACAAGATGGGTTATAAAAAACTTTTTTCTTTCTCAGAGAATGTTGGTGGTTTTGTGAGCTGAGAGCACAGGGTAACATATTGCGGTGTGCAAGACAGCTTCCGATGTGGCCCCATGTTCCTGTCTCCCAGTATTCATTCCCTTGCGTAGTCTCCTCCCCTAGAGGGTGGGCTGGCCTCACTTCTAATCAATATTAATATAATGCAGCAAAAGGATGAGACGAGGCTGCAAAAGACTGATTTCCCCTCTTGCTTATACTTTCCGGCTCTTCTTGCTTCCTGCAGTGATGGCAGGAACAGCTCACACCTGCCAAGTGTGAGCTGCTTGATGGAGAAGCCCATGTCCCTCTCCTGAGAGTGTCCTCCAGCCAGCCTCCAGGGAGGGAGGGATCCTGCTAACAACCACGTGAATGGGGTTGGAAACAGATTCTTCCCCACTCCAGCTTTGAGTGGAAGGCAGTCCCAGCTGAAATCTTGATTGTAGCCTCATGACAGACCCTGAGCCAGAGGACCCAGTTAAGCCCTTTCTGAATTCCTGACCCACAGAAACTGTGGGACCGACGAATGTTGTCGTTTTAGGCCACCAAGTTTTAGGGTAACGTTATGGAGCAATATATATCCAATGCATGGTATATCGTAACAGATAAGACCAGGAAGACAGTTTAGGTCTACGTGGTGAAGGATTAGTAGGCAGAATAATGCCACCTCTCCCCCTCCTCCATGAGATGTCCCCCTCCCCCACCAGATGTCACAAATCACAGGGATGTCATGATTTGTGAATATGTTAGGTAGACTATGTGGCAAGAAGTAATTAAAGTTGCACATGGAATTAAGGGGGCCAATGAATTGACTTTAAGAGAAGAAGATTAGCTTGGATTAGCTGGGTGGTCCCAATGTAACCACGGGGGGTCGTTAGACATGGAAGAGGGAGGAAGGAGAGTTAGAGTCAGAGAAGCACATGAGATGATGGAGGCAGAGGTCAAAATGCTGCAATTGCTGGCTTTGAAGGTGGAAGGGGGCCATGAGCCATGGGACGTGGGCAGCCCCCAGAAGCTGGAAAACACAAGGAAATGGATTTCCCCCTAGAACTTCTAGAAGGAACACAGCCCTTTCAACACCTTGATTTTAGCCCAGTGGGACTCCTGACACCCACAACTGTAAGATAACAAATTCGTGGTAATCTGCTGCAGCAACGATAAGCATCGAATACAGGATCAGGAATCTGGCATGGTGCTAACTCTGGGGTCTAGACCCTGCTCCTGCCCACCCGGCGATGACCTGCACATCATTGCTGTGCCAGCTCTTTAAACACACTCTTCTTGTCAACACCCACTTACAACCGTGGTTGCTGCAAGCTGATTTTGACACGATTGTTGCAGCTAGCAGCCAACTTGCAGAACAGGAACCATGCAGACCATACATTTCTTAACAACTGCGTTTTGACAATCCTTGGCTACCTACTGACTGGGCTTATTTATTTATTCATTGGCTTGTTTCTCCTGTGCCTAATTTTCTGGTATCAAAGCACCCCCACTTTCTCTGGACATCAGTAAGGTTTATTTGTGGCAGTTTCTCTTCGCTGTGGCAGCAGATGGAAGTTCCTGTCCTCAGATTCAGTCCAGGTTCTGCAATTGTCTCAAGCTTAGGAGCTTCTCATAAGGCAAGCGTGGCCAGAACTAGGTTTCACTAATCAAAGTTAGTGGAATGCTGAGGGAGTGTTGTTTCATTAACTTTCATCTCTCTCTCTGAGATTAGAGGCATTTCTCCGTAGCAAGGTTGGAATAGGTGTCTTGGAGAACAATGACTCTTTCTCAATGATGCTAGCTCCCTTTCAATAATACTTCTTCATCACCAATTTGAATTAAACCCATTTTTTCAGTGATGTTTGCATACAATGAAATTGCCCAATGACATATTTTTTCAGAACTTATCCCTGTTGTTAGGCAATGCAGGACTGTATTTGTACTTGTGCTTTCTGCCTGAGCTTCTTTATTGACAAAGCTGACCATGTATACTGGTTTTCCCAGGACTGTCCAGTTTTTAATGTTTTTCTTTTTAAATAATTAAATTATTTTTAATTGGCAGATAATGATTGTTTATATTTATGGGATACAGTGTGATCTTGGTGGGAGGGGAATAGTGAAATATTGGTCAAAGGGCACAAAGTTTCAGTTAGGAGGAATAAGTTTGTTAGACCTATTGTACAGCAGGGTGATTATAATTAATGTGTATTTCAGAATTGCTGAGAGTAATTTTCTAATGTCTCTCCACAAAAAAAATACTAAGTAGGTAAGAGGATGGATAAGTTAATCACTTGATGTAATCATTCCTTGTTATCTAAGGCATGGAAGTAATTTCTTTTCTTTCTTTCTTTCTTTCTTTCTTTCTTTCTTTCTTTCCCTTTCCTTTCCTTTCCTTTCCTTTCCTTTCCTTTCTTTTCTTTTTGAGACAGAGTCTTGCTCTGTTGCCCCCAGCTAGAATGTAGTGGGGTCATCAAAGCTCACAGCAACCTCAAACTCCTGGGCTCAAATGATCCTCCTGCCTCAGCCTCCCGAGTAGCTGGGACTACAGGAACGCACCACCATGCCCAGCTAATTTTTCTATTTTTAGTAGAGACGGTGTCTTGCTCTTGCTGGTCCCTCCTTGGCCTCCCAGAGTGCTAGGATTACTGAAGTGAGCCATCTTGCCTGGCTTCTTTTTTTGAGTGTGATTACTAACAGTCTTTGCTTTTGCTCTTAACAATTTCCTGGTTGGGTGACAAATTTTATGATCACACTACTCACGGACAGTGATGCCAATTCTAACACTTTGTGCATTTGTCACCTTAAACCACTATCCTTCAATTTCAGGTAGATTGTAGAGTCTACAAACAGATCTGACAACTGCCCCTGTGCTAACAGCACCCTGGGGCCTGGAAGGGTGACATGCCTCTAGCTTCTCTAACTTAACTCTCAAAATGAGACACAGACCCAAGTGACAGAATCCATTTCTGTCCCTCCGTGAGGGCATCAGTCACATCCGGGTAATGAAGGCCAGGGAGAGTGGAGTACCCATGCCAGAGGCAGTATGGAGGAAGAGCGTTCAGTCTCCCACAGGGAAGCAGCGCTGTTGGCAGATGGCGGGAGCAAAGATGATCATTAAGAAAACACGAGGGGTAAGGAAGAAGGCGTTACTAAAGCAATTTCACTAATTCTACCTGAAGGCTCTTTTTTGGGAGGGGGGCAAGAGTTAGTTTAAATGGGTTACTTATGCTTCATATGAAGCCCCTTTTGCCCTTTGCTAGCTTAAAGGCACTTCTGGTTCTGTGTCTGTGTGTGGCTCAGGTGCTCGGTATAAAGCGTCATCCAGCCACCTAGATGTGATTCAGCTCTTTGTATTTTTATATGTGAATCCTGTCGAAATAAAGACTGGAAGTTGGAAGTGATTTTTTTTTTTTGCATGTGTATTTTGGTGATATGAATATCAGGGTGATTTATTCTGAAATAAAAGGAAAATAAATGTGGGAGAAGAACAAGTGGGGCCCAAGGGAGACAGCTGGGAAGAAGAGATGGTATTGTTTCATGAACCAAGGGCTGACTTTGCATGCATAAGCCTCCCATCTCCCCCTTTCTTCTGAGCGACATTTCTCTCTCTGCCCACTGCCTGTCTGAAGTCAATATGACCACTGGGTTCCTCTTTTGCATGCAGGCCTCAGAGAATTCAGTTTCCCTGCAAACTTTCTGCAGCTGCAACGTTAGATCTAGACCCTTATCTCCAATTTACCCGGTTGCCCAAGGTCACCTAGACAGTTAGTAGGGAAACATTGAGTAGAGCCCCGCTTATTAGACATGTGGTCTAACCTCTTTATACTTCTTCCTGAGGTGGTCTTCCCTCTAATAACTTCTAAAACCCTTTAAAAAATGAAGCGCTCAGAACATGCTCTTTTTGTGTAGTTGCTAGTCTTTTTATTGAACATGTAGAGAGAGAAGGGAAGGTTACTGACTCTCCTATTGGAATTAGGATAAGTGAAAAGGAAGGCATGAGGCCAATTTCTGCATGGAATTCCACTGCAAAAGGCTTTTATCCAGCTGAGGAAGGTTTGGGCTTATTAGTATTTGCTCCAACGAACCTGCAAGTTTTCTCCTTCACGGACAACATAATTACCAGCTCCTGAAAAGGAAGAACAAGAACTGGCTCAAATGATTTGACCACTTAATCACCAAGTAATGGATATTTTCCCTCCTAACCCCTTGGGACCTCCCCCACAAAGGCTCACACCCTCACATACCTGAACGCTTGGGCATTTCACTCTGTGGGGCTTTCCTTACCTTGGCTCAGTGGTTTGCCTCCACTCAGAAGTTCCCAGTAGGTTCTGTCATTACTGCTGGCCTTTAGGCCCTGAACAGAGGTGATGTAGGGGCCCCAGTCACTCTCCACCATGGTGAAACTGTGGGGAACAGTGAACAAGTTACAGGCCCTTAGAATTTACATGAGCAAGTCTCACACTGTAACGAATCTAAGAATCACTTGATGATTCCAAAAAAAATGCACATTTCCTGGCCCTATGCCCAGATACTTTGATTTTGAGGTCTGGGCTGAGGCCCGGGAATCTGCATGTTTTATAAACACTGCAGATGAGTCTGATGCTGGCACTCTACATGCTAAGTTATAGAAATGATGTCCATGGTTTCTGCCCCACTTCTGGCCATACTAGACACTTTTTGGTCAACAGCTTCAACTTTCCACTCTAAGGTGGCAACTGTGAAGATACTAATGCTGTAGAAGAAAGTGTTAACCTCAAGTCCCAGAGGTATCATAAGTTGGTGGGTTTTCCCTTGGGAAAGTGGAACAGGAAAGAATAATTTGATATTTCATGTTGTGTTTGTTAAAAAGTGACATTGTCAGTGTTTGTTTCATATTCCATAGTCATATATCTTCCTGGAGGGCCTTGAAGGCAGGCTTTAAAATATACATATTATATATATATATATATATATATATATAATTATTCTTTCTCCATAGCATTCTAGAGCATGTTGTTAAACACAATAAATGTCAACTAGATTTAAGAAGCCAATTAAATGATACTTTTCAGAGGCAAAGTCGATATCTTAATTTTAATATTTGACCTCCTAGGCTAGGGAACCTGAATCTAGGGTTCCAAGAGTTTCTTGAAAGAGGAGGATGAAGAGGCTTCAGGACATCTGTGAAACCCCCAATTTAAATGCCCAATTTTGTGTGTATGTTTGTTTTTCTGGGACGAGCATGAATTGCATTCATCTGATTTTCAAAGGGGTCAGTGATTCAAAAATAGTTAAGAAATCACTGTTGTAAACCTAAAACGTCTGACTTACGAGGTTCTATTTATTGAAAGAGTTTTGCTGAAAATAAGAGAAAGCCCTGGGATTCATTAATCCGTTAAAGGAACATTAATTTAATAACTATTATGTGCTAGAAGACAAAATATCTCAGCTCTCTTTTTAAACTCCTGCTGTGAGATGGGGTGGTTAGCAAAGACACTGATCCAGAATTGTTTTAAACTGTGTTTTGGATTCACTGCAGATGTGTTCTTACTGAGTCTTTAGGAATGACACAAACCCCTTAACCTTAGGTTATGTGGACATACCCAAATACAGTCTTGTTCTGTTTCTGAGCTTGCTCCATCACATCCAGAAAGACAGAACCATGTCGCACGGTGACATTGGTGTCATACGTTTCATTGATTCTCACAGAGTAATTGACTGAGATATATGAGGGTGGCTTAAGAGGTGCCACAGTTATAGGCAGAGGAATGGGAATGTTGAAGTTACCTGAAGGAGACAGAAAAGCCAAAAGTCATATTCAGAATAATAAAAATTATGTCAGAGATTGTACACCTAACTATTCAGCCTCCATCCAAGGACGTTTTTCCTTTATGGAAGAAAGGCGGACTTGATACAAAGAGGAAGCATCATCAATTAAGAAGCAGATTTCTCATATAACTAAAGCAGAAACTAAAACCAGAAACCTCATGGGCTTGTGAATGATGGCATCTGGATTAAATCCTAGCTATTTAAGCAATTCAGTTGTCCCAACTCCCATTTCTCACAGAAGATCTAGACTTTTTTTTTTTAAATTTCTTAAGACTTAACTGAAAACACACTAAATGTCAGGCACTGTGCTAGTCTTGGCACATGGATTATCTCATTCAGTCCCCACAAGAACCTTTGTTAGATACTGTCATCATTACCATTTTTGTACATCACAAAACTGAAGCTTAGAGGTTAAACATTTTGTCCCAGGTTCCTAAAACTTTAAGTGGCAGAGCAAGGAATGTACAGAGATACATGTTGTAAAATCATTTGTTTGAATAAGTGGCTCATGCTATGATTTTCTTAGAATATTGCCATATTCCTTCCACACAGGTGTCTTCTTTCCCTGATGCATCACCACTCACTGGGGACAATGGAAAGTCAGAGTCACAAAACAGATCCTCTGCACTCTGTTTAAGTTGGGAATATGCTCAGATCTCTCTGTATCTGACAATCGGAAAATATACCTTTAGAGGTAGACATCACTTCATCAAGTATACCTTGTTTATCAATGTTTGAACCAAGAATGGCATCTAGCACTCAGTTAAGAACAAATCCTCAGGTGGTTATAATCCCTGATGACATAATAAGAATGGAATTCTCTCTGGGAACTGTTTCAGAGGTTTATCTGGTTACTTTGGGTCCACAAGAACACCTAAATCTCACATGCTTTTTATGTTATGGTGAAAGGCACAATAGTTTGCTGTTTAGAACTTGTACCTGAACGAGGGACACAGGAGTTAACATCTAAGTAGGTCTTTCCCATCAGAGCAGGGAAGACCTGGGCTGCGGCAATTGGAATACCGAATGTTCCTTGAGAAATTTCCTTGAGCACTGTGTTCAGAGTTTCTTGACAATTCCATTCACTTTCTTGGTAATACTCTGATGACACAAAAAGGGCCTGAGAGACAGAGAGGGGAGGGGAAAGAAGAGAGAGAGGGGAGAGAGAGAGAGGGGAGAGAGAGGAGAGAGAGGGGGGAGAGAGGAGAGAGAGAGGAGGGGGGCAGAGAGAGAATAGAGACAGAGGGGGAGAGAGAGGAGAGAGAGAAGAGGGGAGAGAGAGAAGAGAGAGAGAGAGGGGAGAGAGGGGAGAGAGGGGAGAGAGGAGAGAGAGTGAGAGGGGAGAGAGGAGGGAGAGAGAGAGAGAGAGAGAGGAGAGAGAGAGAATCTAGTAATTCAGTATTTATTGAACATTTACTACATAAGAGGCACTTTAGATAACTCAGCTATATTTCCTGCTGTCGAAAAGCTTATAACCTACTTTGGGTGGGGAGGTGGGAAACTGCTTAATAACACAAGCTATAATAGCTTCAATGACAACAGACTTTCTCTGCCATATTCACCCCTGTATCCCAATGCTGGAAAAATAGCTGTTATATAGGAGGGACTCAGTAGATATTGTTGACAAACTATTGTAAAAGGAGACCTAGATGAATGTTCAAGACCCCCAGTGGATGCCTGAAACTATGAATAGTACCGACCCTTAAATATACTGTTTTTTCCTATACATACATACCTGTGATAAAGTTTAATTTATAAATTAGGCACAGTAAGAGATTAACTACAATAAACTAATAATAAAATAGAACAATTATAGCAATATACTACAGCATCACTACTCTTGTGCTTTGGGGTCACTATTAAGTAATATAAGGGTTATTTTTTATTTCAGCATATTATGGAGGTACAAATGTTTAGCTTACATATATTGCCTTTGCCCCACCCGAATCAGAGCATCAGGCATGTCCATCCCTGAGACGGTGCACACCACACTAATATAAGGGGTTTTGTGACAGTTGATCTGACAGCCAAGATGGCTGCTAAGTGACTAATAGGCAGGGAGTGTGGACAGTGTGGACAAACCACTGGACAAAGGGATGATTCACATGCCAGAAGGATGGAGCAGGAAGGTGTGAGATTTTATTATGCTACTCAGAATGAAGCACAATTTAACATGTATTGATTATCTACTTCTGGAATTTTCCATTTAGTATTTTCAGACCATGGTTGACTGTAGGTAATTGAAACAGTGAAAAAAAAAAAAGAGAAACACAGGTAAGGGGGACTACTGTATATGGCAAAGTGTAAAATTGCACGTGATAGAACAAGATAGATTGCAGTAGACTCTAGAATTTCTTAGATTGTAATTAGGAAAAGCTTCCTAGGAGCGTGGGATATGGAGAGGTAAAGGTTGAAGGGGAGAAGGCTACATTTCAGGCAGGGGAGGGGAATCAGTTGAACAAAATCACAGTTGGCATAGGAAACACAGAATGGATAGGAAGGTCTCAGGAGGCCAATAAGAAAGGGTAGAGAGACCGCTTTCCTCCATGACGCCCCTCTGCCTCCTGCTTCGCCCTCTGACTTACCTGCATAGCGTTTCCTGTACTGAATGCATTTCCAAGGAGACCATCTTCTTTTCTCTCAAGGAGAATCTTGTTTACCAGTGCCTTTGTGTGATTACTGATCCTCTCTAAATCCTTTCCACCTGCTCTGATCTTCCCGTTCGTTAGATTCCTTTTCACGCAGGTCAGGGCCAGGATAGCCAACGCACCAGTATCTGTCAGGACACAGAATGTTGTAGGCAGGGTGACCAACCACTCGAGTTTGTCCTGGGCTGAAAGGCTTTAGTGCTGAAAGCAGGACAGATCTGGAGAAACTGGGATGGTTGGTCATGCTCATTGATGATGGGAGAGAAGGATTTCAAGATACAACAATCATTGCTCCAGAACTAACCACGCAAATATTTCAAAATTCCCACCCAATGTTGAGTTGCCAGGTTCCTCATACTTAATACCTCATACCTGGGTCATAAAAACACCTATGGATTTGTAGGTGCACGCACAGGGACAGTCTTCCGTTTTTACATCCTAATTTCTCCCATCTTTCTCCATCTTTCAGCCGTATTGGCAAAGGAATTGAGAAAACCTGGGATGATGCACCAAACAAAATATGTCTTTGCAAGGATGTTAAGAGTTCCCTTAGAAGACTGATTAGAAAATAGTACTTGACAGAATTTTTACCCAGTAAACATCCTTTGAGGGCCATAAGAGCTCTTTTTCTGGCTTGATACTTGATTTCTCCTGTGTCGTTTAGCATGGAACCTTCCCTCTCTCCTAGAAAAAGGAGTATGAGAAACCTCACTTTCTCCTTACTATCTAGAAATACTGAATGGTGGTTTGCTTGTAACTTCTTGGAGAAAGTTGAGCTTGTGCATTTGAAGTCATAGGAGCTGAGTTGTCTAGGGACTTCTTTTTGGATGTTTAAGCTGACTCAGTGAAAAATTTCTGGTTCTTCTCCAAGATGAGTCCATATCTTATTGATTAAAATATCAGACTTTGTCACTGGAGAAGTTGTATTTTTCAAGTCAATCCACACATTCAAATTGTCCCAATAAATTAGAGAAAGAGGCCGGGTTAAGATGAACGAATTCCACTACATTTCTTTTCTCTACAGCTTATACTTCCTAAGATGTTTTATATGAATATTCTCATCCTCTATCCTCATTTTACAAATTAGGATCTAGAGTTAACATCCATTGGTTACATAACTCAAAGAAGAGCTGGGGTAGGAGCTAGGTCTTGCTATTATACCACACATCTAGAAAGAGGATTAGTGGCCACCCATTATCCATTCTTCTCCAAAAGAAAAATTTCTTCTGAGGAGACTTAGGGTGAAGAGAAGAGGAAAACAGATCCAATTACTTACTGGTAGAAAGACCCACAGGGTAAGACTTGCTTATGACCATGTCCTCTGTACCAAGAGAATTGGATTTAGTGACTCACCTACTGAGAACTGGCCACCGAAATAAAAATTTTTATTTTCAGGAGAGAAGATTTCAGCAACTTTGGTGGCTGAGTAGCTTCCATTGAACAGACACAAGGCCAATACGTCCAGGCTGAGCTGGTAGTAGTTAGTCAATGGATTGCCATCATGTGTTTCTGGCAGAGGGAAAAGACAAACCTTACTCAGGGAGGTGGTACAGGAGTAATACATTTTTGATTTATTTCTGCCTAGGTTATTTCCATTTCTCTACATCTAAGGAAAGGCGAGTAATAGAAGGGGGAGATCACCCACAGAGTCAGCAAACCTGAGGAATTTAAAGATTTTTAAGGGCCACTAAACTCCACTCGACTCCTTTCATTTTATAACAGAGGGGACCCAGCCATAAAAGGGTTAAGATTCTATCCAAATATTCAGGTGAGTACAGAGCTAGGATCAGAACACAGGTTTCCCACCTCCAAGCCTCTTGCACTTTCGACAGGAAGGTGTTGGAAACATAAGTAGAAGTGTGGATTGGAGGCCATCTCAAAGGATGATGGGATCAGAGGGACTTAATGAATAAAAGGATAAATATTGGGTGGATGTTGAAATAAATCAATGCACCTTATTAGTGGCCACCATGGTCAACCTGTTTTTTCTAGTGATAAAGTACTTTGGCCATCTTTATCTCTTAAGATGGTATTAGATGCTTTGGTACTTATGGCACAGTGTCCTGTACTGTGTAGCTATTTCTGATATAATTCATTATTTGTCTAAAAGCCAAGCTCCTGGAGGACTAGAGAACATGAAGTGAGTGTGTGTTTGTGTGTGTGTGTGTGTGTGTGCCTGCTATCATCTGTAAAGTAGCACTTGACACAGGCTCAATGATCAGTTGAACATATTTAAAAAGAAAATTCAAGGTATTTGCTGAAATAAGGAAGAAGGAGAATGACCTGCAAGACATAGTGGGATAAATAGATGGAGAGGAGAAGAAAAGAGTGGAGGGAAACATCATGCAGTTCTGAATCAATGGAAGAGAAGACAAGGTTGTCTATGATCTCTAAACATTTGATTCTTACCCATATTTTCAATTTCTGCTTGGAATTTATTTTCTAGCTGGCTGATTAGGTGATGATCATGTATAAAGTTTTCATCATGGCTATGACATGCTCCCAAAGCCATTGTAATCAAGGCAAGCTGTCCAGAGGTTAAATTTGTCACTGAAAATAAAAGTATTCGAGCTTAACAAGGTACATGCTTATGATTTTTTTTTTTGCTTCCTGTCTTCCTTGTGATTTATGTTGCCTATCATGTCTTTATTCTATTCCACTCTACACAGTCATATGAACTGGTACAGTGTGCTATTACACCAAATATTGTAGGCCATCATTACATAATGGTAAATATTTGTATCTAAATATATCCAAAAATAGAAAGTAAAAACATAGTATTATAACCTAATGGGACTTCCATCATCTACACAATCCATCATTATGTGGAACATAACTATACTAATATTTTATTCTTCTCTTCCCCCTTTGTCCCTAAAGCAGAGCCTTTTATAGCAGGACTGCATAAATGCAAGCTAGATCTTAGTCTTTTCCATGAAATCATGGAATCTTTTTGGAATTACAAAATTGTTATAAAAATGAAAAAAGAAGGTAAATAGATAAATAACAAGACATTGGGATTTTTTTTCTCTGTGTGATACCAGCTTACCAGGATAGTAATAATTAATTTTTATGTTTTGCCTTATAAAATATCAAAACTCTGAGGCTTCTCATAATTTTTACAATAATGTAATGAGGCAGGCAAAGGTGGCTTCATTTCCCCCCTAATATTAATTAGAGAACTGAGGCTCAGTATTGACATGACTAGTTCAAGGCTGACTATAGACTCAAACCTAGTCCAAATTTTTACTCCTCCATGGTTTCCTCTCTATGGTCAGCTTTCTTAGTTGTGGTCCATATCTCTGTGGTAGCAAACTCAGCTAGCTAGCTTATATAACAGTATTAATGGATAAGAGTCCAGAGCTTTTCTTGGTGGCTTCCTGAAGGAAAATGGTTTTTAGGACCAAAAAAGCAAGACCTATCTCTAGAGAAACCTTTCTCCCACCTCAAGTTTTATACAGCTAGAATAGACGTAGCAGGGATACTTTGAACACATAATTTTTAGGATTAGCTGGAGATAATCTTTTAGAAAGGTAGATCTTTTCCTAAATCTTCCTGAGAATACAGGCACTCACCTGTATACTCACCTGTATTCTCACTTCCTGAGAATACAGGCACTCACCTTTCCGTTCCCCAGCGTCTCGGACTCGTTGGAGCAGCCGTTGCTCTAGGGTTTGGTTCTGGATCCCCACAACTCTGACAGACAACAGGACATTGGCAGCTTTGGTTGCCCCGGTATATTTTGATTTGACTATTGTGTTCAACAGAGGCTTTAGGCGGAAGTAGTCTTCTTTACTTACCTCTGAGGCAGAGGAGGAAGGAAATAAGAAACACATACTCAGAAAATATTAAGACTTGGAGCAGAGGTTAGATTAAAATATTTAATAACAGGCATGGCGCAGATCTAGACCAATCCAGTGGCCACTGACCATGTTGGTGGAATAATACGAAGGCAAGTCTGGAGCCCCCCCATGCCAGACATTACTCTTTTAACAACCAGCATGAAAATGTTAACAACTGTTACAGCCTTACCTTTGTGTACTGGTAGGATATCAGTCCTGCCTGGGAGATAGAGTACCATTCCCTAATTTTGTATATGAAGCCTACAGAGAGAATGTCCTTAAAGAAAGCTCTCTAATTGGAGGCTTAGCAGAAACTAGAACACATGTCTACTGACTCTGTCATAAGTACCTTCTACTTCCTGAATTCAGTTCTTCCCTTCTCTATCTTCTTGTGAACCAATTGGGTTAATACTGAGGAAATGCAGGCAAAAATCCTATGTTACATTGGTGATTGACCCCAACACTTCATTGTTTAATTGTCCAGCTGGCCAGACATTAAGAATATTATTCAGCATTGTAGACCCTTTGGAAAACCCTCCAGTTTTAGCCTACATGTCCAGACTCCAAGGATTGAGGGAAGTCACATGGAAGTAAAAGAGAATACAGAGCCCCCAAAGAACTAGCAGAAAATAAGAAGGGTTAGTTATCACTTGAAACATAGTACAATTTCTCAACACGATTTTCTCAGAATCTTGAGTAGTAGCCCAAAATCCTACTCATTTCCAGATTGTCTCCTGGGTCAGTGGGAGAGTAAAAAGAATATGAACCTTGGATTCAGTCACACCTTAGCTGGACTCCTTAACTTATGACTATAAATAAGTTATGTAACTTTTCTAACCCTCAGTTTCCTCATTTTAAAATTGTGGCTATTAACACCTGCCTTAGAGATACTGGATAAGAAACCATTTAATAAACTGTAAAATCCCATATATATATATTTATAATTACTTATAGTCAACTGGAGTTTTTTTTTTTTTTTTTTTTGAAGACAGGAGCCCCGCTTGTCCAGGCAGAGTGGTGCCGTGGCGTCAGCCTAGCTCACAGCAACTCAAACTCTGGGCTCGATTGATCCTTCTGCCTCAGCCTCCCGAGTAGTCACTGACCAAGGCATGAGCCACATGCCAGGCCTAATTTTTGTATTATATTAGTTGCCAATTAATTTCTTTCATATTATAGTAGAGACGGGGTTCTCGCTTCTGCTCAGGCTGGTTTTGAACTCCTGACCTTGAGCAATCCGCCCGCCTCGGCCTCCCAAGAGCTAGGATTAGAGGCGTGAGCCACCGCGCCCGGCCTCAACTGGAGTTTTTATCACTAGACTTGAGAATATAGAAAATGTGATTTCCCTTGGCCATTTTTTCTTCACTTTAAAGAGTCAAGAAGTTCTGAATGGAGTGATTATAGGAAGGTCATGGTTTGTTGCAAGCACAATGGGACAATTGTGAGTTGTCTCTCTGAGATTTTACGGAAGCACCCATTTCAGCAGATTTTCTGGCACTGAAACAGGCTTTTTAGTTCCTGATCAACAACCCAAATCAGCCTCTTTGCCTGCTAAAGATAAATTTAATTACTTTGTACAATGAATTGAACTTCAAAGTCTCCATAGAGATCCTCTATTCTTAGGATCCAACAGGGGAAATGTCAGGCCAGGAAGAAAAATCATAGTTGGAAGATTCTGTGTTTTACCCTATATGAACAAAAATTTGTTTTCCAATCTCTTCTTATTGGCTATAGAGCACGAGGAAGCTGTAGCCAGGCATCTTTGGACTGGTTTAAAACTCAATTCCAGAGTAAAGTCTCACATATGGGAAGTCATGCACCAGAGAGCTACATCACACTTCAGGAGATCTTTGCTTCAATACCCTCCCTTCATTATCCTCCATTTATGGATGAAACTAAAGAGATTCAGAAACATTGGGTCATTCAACTCCTAAGAGCTTAAACTAGACCTGAACCCAGTTTTCATTTCTCCTACTTTATTATTCTTTAATAGAACCAAACAATCTCTGGAGCCAACACCCAGAGGAGAGATGGATGAGCCTTTTGCCCATGTCTTCTGGGGGAAAAGTTGAAGGAAGGGAGGTATGCAGTGTGGAACATCTAAACTAATGACAAAAATGTAGTCCTCATTATTTGAAAGGGATTATTATTTTTGCTGTGTAGTTACAAGTGATTAAGCCAATCATGGGTTGAACTCCAGGAAAATCAGCTACATATCAAAACCAAAAGATCATTTTCCACAATCTTGAAAAATCTCTGGGATCATGAATTGTCTGTCATTGGAAATTAACAAGGGTAGACAGTTACCTGGTAGGGATGCTGTGCCAGAAAGGATCTGAACCTAGAAAGAGCAGGTAGGCAAGTTAACAAGCTCACTCTATGATTCCTCTTGAAACATCCTACATTGTGGTGGCACTTTCCTCACCAGCTCCTGCCACCCTTTCTGTCACTAATGGGGTCAAGTCACATATGGAATTAGAATAGGATCTTTTCTCAAGCAATTCTACACAGTGTCTGCTGCCAACAGCCTTCAGTAGACTATCACACTAGAGTAATTTTAGCTCAAAGTGTACTTACCACAGATCGTGCATACTTGGCTTGAAATAAGAGAAAACAGCAAGAGCCCCACCAAGGGCAGCCAGTGTGGTTGTCTCATCTCTCCAACAGTGTTCAGGAGTGTTGAGGGCTTGGTTGGCTATTTATCGGGTGATGGGGAGAAGGCAATGAGAGCCCTTCCTTTGATTTGCCTCAGCCTTTTTCAATTAAGCAAGTATTGAGCAATGTCAGAAGGTGTGGCCAAGTGTATTTGTCCATGAAATGTGATAAATCAGGAAGAAGACTTAAAAGGTATGGTTAGAGAGAATGAGGAAATAATTTTTTTTGTTGTTTCTTGTCCTAGACCTTTCACATTTATTACTTGCTTTCAGCCCAATGAACATATATTAGGTGAGTAACTATTTTCAATAATGTTTCTTGTTTTTATTTCACTTTATGATTTATTTATGTCTCCTGAGAGATTAGATTTGATCAGGAAAGCACATACAACATATAAAAATGAAAGTAGAAGTTGTAAATCTGAAATCCCAGCAAGCAGGATTGGGGAGCCTGGCACATGGGAGAATCTTTGGCATAGTGTTTTGCAAAAAATTTCCATATATATAGGGGGTAAAAGTGCAATTCTGTTACATGGATATATTATATATTGGTGAGGTCTGGGCTTTGAGTATATCCATCACCTGAATGGTATACATTGTACCAATAAGTAGTTTTTTATCCCTTATCCCCTCCTACCCTCCTGCATTTGGAGTCTTCAATGTCTGTTTTCCACTCTGTATGACCATGCATACCCATAGTTTAGCTCCCCTCGTTTTAACTGGGTTCCCATTTGTCATTTTATTAGCGAGCTGTAAGAGTTCCTTATATATTCCTTATATGTGCTCCTTATCAGATATATGATTTGCAAATATTCTCTCATTCTGTGGGTTGTATTTTCTACCTGAATTCTTAAAATCACTGAATCCAGTTGATTCTTCCTTTTATTGTGAGACACATTTTCCCCTTGTCTTCTGTGACAACACCATCATCCTCCCCTAATTTTTCTCCCAGTTTTTCTTTTATACTCCTTTTTTATACTCACTACCAATCTTTTTTGAAACTTTAAATGTTATACAATCCTAGGGCTTTATACTAAAATATTATTTCTCACGTTACATACCCTCTTTATCCATGTCCAAGCCTTCAAATACATTATGTCTCCAATTTTTACTTTGGTCTTAGCTTCTCTTCTCAGTTCCAACTTATAGACAAGTGCATTCCCTGCACTTTTACTTGAATGTCTCAGCAATTTCAAAGTCGGCATATTCAAACTTGAATTCTTAGTCTTCTACTGTAGACTGACTTGCCACTGCTGCCATCTTTGCCATTGTAACACCTGTGCGACCTTAGGTAAGTCCCTTAACTTCTCTTTTTTTTTTTTTTTTTTTTTTATAGGGTCTCAGGCCGGGTGGATTGCAAGCATTTTTCCCAGTTTCTCATTTTATTCCCTGGCTAGAGTGAGTGCCGTGGCATCAGCCTAGCTCACAGCAACCTCAAACTCCTGGGCTCAAATAATCCTACTGCCTCAGCCTCCTGAGTAGCTGGGACTACAGGCATGTGCCACCATGCTCGGCTGATTTTTTCTATATATATTAGTTGGCCAATTAATTTCTTTTTATTGATAGTAGAGACAGGGTCTCGCTCTTGCTCAGGTTGGTTCAAACTCCTGACCTTGAGGAATCCGCCCGCCTCAGCCTCCCAGAGTGCTAGGATTACAGGCGTGAGCCACCGCACCTTGCCCCCTTAACTTCTCTAAGTCTCAGTAAAATGTGGAAAGTAATAGTTCTTAATGCTTAGGTTTTGGTGAGGAGTCAATGAGTTAATACATGGAGGGTTCTTAGAATAGTCCCTGGTGCATATAATGCCTCATACCTCTGTCTCCCTTGATCTTTTATCTAATCAATCAGCAGTGGCATATATTTCACCTTCTAGAACCGGTCTGCTTCTCCCTGCCTTTACTTCTACTGTGGTCGAGATTACCATAATTTCCAGCATCACCAAAATAACTTGACAATTTGTGTATCAGCATTCACTCGCACCCCTCTCCGAGCCATTCTCCACCCAACGCCTAGAGCAGCATTTCTCAAACTCAGTCCATACATAGACCACATTTAAAGAAAAGGAATTCTCAAGGGACACAGTTTGAATTACATTGCTCTTAAGGCTTTTCATCTATGAATATGGTAATTTTGAATTTTCTTTGCAACACAGATATGTCGTTATCACGCTGATGTTTTTTTTTTTTTTTAATTTAAAATCCTCATTCTTGGTTAAACCCTTGAAGTCCTCCGTTGTGTTTTGAATAATACTCCAGCCTTTAAATGTGATCTCTAAGAACCTGTATCTTCTGGCCCTTTTCTACCTCTCAAATGTTATCTCACCGTCTTGTACATTGTGCTACAGCCTCAGTTTTTCAGTTCTTCTAATATGCCAAGTTCCTTCCTGCTTTTGCACATGTGGTTTTCCTCTCCTGTATTATTGCTGTCAGATGATGGGGCTTCCTGCCCTCTTTCGGCTTATATGCTACTTCCTGAGAGATGCTCTCTTTGCACTCTCAGACCTGCTTATCCCCTCTGTTAGCCACTCTCTTGATACTCTGTACTTCCCTTTGTAGCACTTATGAGAATTGCAGTTACTTTTTTGAAGCATTATTTCTTAACTGTGTATGTTTAATGTGTGTCTCCCTGCCAGTCTGTGAGTTCCTCAAAGGCAAGATAAGTCTTCCTTGTTCACTGTTGTGTCCCACCCTGCACCAGGCACCATGCCTATTACATAAGAGGTTGTTAGATATTTGTGGAAAGGAACCTCACAACATTAAGCCAAGTGATAAATTAATAATGTGTATAGGTAGATAATCTCATTGGATAAATATTAGAAATTTATACTGGAACAAACTGGAAAAAAAAAGTAACTGATGGAGGCCGGGTACAGTGGCTCACACCTGTAATGCTAGTACTCTGGGAGCCTGAGGCAGGAGGATAGCTAGAGCTCAGGAGTTCAAGACCAGCCTGAGCAAGAGCGAGACCCCATCTCTACCAAAAATAGAAAAAAAGAATTAGCTCAGCGTCGTGGTGCATCCAGTAGTCCCAGCTACTCAGGAGGCTGAGGCAGGAGGATTGCTTGAGCCCAGGAGTTTAACGTTGCTGTGAGCTAGGCTGATGCCATGGCGGCACTTACCCAGGCAACAGAGTGAGACTCTGTCTCAAAATAAATAAATAAATAAAAATAAAGTAATGACCCAGGTGTTTTCCACTGAGTTTGAGAGTGAGTTGGGGATTTAAGTATCTGGAGTTAAAGTCTAAATGGCCCCATTGTTAAGTATGTTAGAATCATCTCCCCAGCAATTCTTTATCTGATTAAGCAGATCTGCTTTGAGATATCTACACTCCTTACCTCTCTCCATACTGATAAGTGAGAGTTACCTAATGCTAGTTGTTTGCTTGACTCACTAAATGTAAACATTGAGGCATGAAGGTTTTTTCCTTCTTATGGAAAGACTTCGGTCAAACTATTGATTCTGGAACTTGGTACAATGTTATGCTAGTTGGAGGGATGGTCCCTGTTTTCTTTTAGTTCATTCCAGATCCTCAAAAAACTAATAGTACAGATAAATATTTTGCAAAGTTTATATTTTAACACATATTGGAAATCTCAGGAGAATATATGATGAGGAATGTGATTTGGATTCGTTGTTTTATTTCTTATTAATCCAGCAAAGATGCCATTTAATAAGTAGCCCCAGGCATATCTGATTTCTCATTTAAAATCATGATCATACACTTTATATCAAAGGATGCTGAGATTTATAGTGTTGGTGGTTTTCAACAAAACCAAAAACCCAAAAGTGTTTGATATAAAACAGATGAGAGTGAAATGAAACTAACTGAAGGAGAATTGGAGGAGAATTGCCTCCCTCTTTCCCCTATCAGCAATCCTGAGGGCGTCTGCTCAGGGTTTCTCAAAGTATGAGCCTTCAGGAATCACCTTGGGGCAATTATTAAAAATGCAGGTTCCTGGGCCCTGCCCCACTGAGTTAACTCATGGAATTTGCATTTCGACAAGACCCTGCAGTGACTCATATGCACTCTTAGCACTCTTATCCTTCCAGCTGCAACAGATCTCTCTGGACTGGACTGGGGCTAGGACATCTGTTTTTTTAAATAGTTTTCCAGACAATTTTGAAAATTTAGGTTTGGGAGTCAATGAAATAGGTACTCTCTGAAGTGACAGTGTCTGAATCAGCAGTTCTTAAAGTATGGTACTGGGGCCAGCAGCACCAGCAGCATCTGGAAACTTTCAGAAATGTAAATTCTTGGCCCTCCCACCCCCAGCCCTGAATAATCATCTCAGGGGCATGGCCCTGCGATCTGTGTTTTCACAAGTCCTGCAGGTGATTCTGATGCTGCTGAAGTTTGAAAATCACCGGTTTAAACAACCTCCTGAATATCATTCCCCAGCAATTCAATAACTGTGTTGACACTCCCTGAATGTTCTGTCCTTCTAGGAATTTTGGACCGCCTGGAGAAATCAAAGACTTGCTAAATAGCACTTTATTCGCACTCTGATTTTGGCACTGAATTGATCAGGAGAATGTCAAGTTTCAGCAGGTAGGAAGAAATCGTTCTCTGAATATAGAAATGATGGCTTTTACAAAGTTTTTATTTTGTCCTTTATACTTTCCAGATTTTCCAAGCATCAAGCAATTTAGATCAACAAAAACACAATACATTCCTGGAAAATACAAGCAATTGGCAAAAAGTTATTTGTAAATGCAGTCAGCTGGGGGTAGGGCATTGGGTATAAAATTACCCAAAGCGAGGCAGCCACTTTTAATTTCCTTTGTTTTTCATCGACCATCAGTTGGAAGCTGACACCATGAAGGATTTTGTGGGGTTACAGTCATCTTTCTTTTTGTGTGTGATTTTGGCTTTTTCTGAGCAAGAGTCAGGTACGAGGGCAATTCTCGTGTTTTGCTGTTTCAAGGTGTAATTTCTTAGAGGTCACTGGGCCTTTTATTGTTTGCTATTTTGAGTAAATGTGATTTGCCAACTTATTTTTTTGACTTTTGCTATCATGTTGTTTTCTCTCTTTTGCCCTTCACCTTCACCCAAAGCAAGTGATTTATCTAAGTTTATCCTTATGCTTGGGAAAAAGCTATTTTTTTATGCTTTCTTCTAAATGTAGTAGGTGTTTTCTATTGTGTAGCTCTCCACGCCATTCACCCTACCTGTGGAAAGATATTTCTCTATTTAAGGTTTCAACTTGCTCTTCCATGTCCTACTCCTCATCTCCTGCTCATAATCCGGCCACCTGCCTCAGTATCCCCTGGCACCTC